GGATGCTGCTTTAATTCTGTTAGTTTCTTTGCCCGAGTCATATGAAAATTTTGTTGAATCTTTTATGGCTGGTAAAGAAACTTTGTCTCTGGATGATGTTCGATCTGCTCTCCACATGAGAGAAGATCGTCAACGGGCAACTAATTCAAGAATAGAAAATCAGGCATCAGGACTATCTGTTACGGGTAAGGGACAGAAGACCTTTGAAAAAAAGAAGCCAAACTTTAAAGGTTCAAAAGGTCCTAAGCCCAGTGACATTTGCAACTACTGCAAAGAACCAGGGCATTGGAAGTTTGATTGTCCTAAGCAGAAGATGCAGAAAAAGGACAAGATCGAGGATGCTCACTGTTCTGCAACTATGGCAGAAGCTGATGATACAAACTCTGAAGAAGATCTGGTTCTATTTGTCAATAACCAAACACATTGTAAGGATGTGTGGGTTCTTGACTCTGGGGCGTCGTATCATATTAGTCCATATAGGGAGTTGTTTTCAACTTATGAGCAGATAGACGAGGGTGATGTTTCCATGGCCAACGGAGTTGTCTGCAAGGTAGTTGGAATAGGCTCCATCAGGTTGAGGACTCATGATGGTACATTTTGCACCTTGAATAAAGTTAGGCGTGTTCCACAGATGACGAAGAATCTGATATCCTTGACTCGTCTTGACAGTAAAGGTTTCAGTTTCGAAGGTAAAAGTGGAGTTATGAGTGTCTACAAGGATTCGAAGGTGGTTCTGAAAGGTATTAAACATGGTACTTTATATCTTCTACAGGGATCTGTCATTGTTGCATCTGAGATTCATAGAGGTGATGAATATCTTAATGTTGAGGTGGAGGTTTCATCTGCACGGATTGAGACTGTTGATCACCTAGAAGAATCATCTGTTTCTACGCCTCAATGAGGCGATTTGTGCCCCGGGAGGGGGCGATCTGGGCCCGTATGGGGCAGTCTATGCCCCATGAAGGGCAATCAGGGCTTCCGGAGGAGTCATCTGGACACTAGGTTGGTGTCATCTGTTTCTGTTCAGATTCCATACTTCCATGAAGAGTCATCTGGACTCAAGGTGGAGTTTGCATGTGTTGGTGTTTTAGCTTGAGTTATCTGTTCCCATGAGTGAGGGAAATCTGTTTTGGTGTGTCACAACACTTCTGAACTCAAGTGAAAGAATCTGTTCTTGTCTTTTAGTGACATTTGTGTCCTTGGTTGGATTTTCTGGTACTTATGGTACATCTGGTCACTTCTTGAAGGAAATCTGGAACATCTGCTATCTTTTGAGGAGATTCAAGGCAAGGTGAAGATTTGTTAGAAAATGCCTTGAATCTGTATTCTAGACGTATTAGGATTACGACTAGGAATAGGATTAGGATTATCTTTTTGAAAACGCTAACGCTAATATCTAACGCTATTCCCAAACAGGCCCTAAAAAAGTGACCATAAGTTATAAAATAGTTTTTTAGATTTAATGTATCTTAATATACTTTACTTCATTTTAAGGTGTAAATTTAATATAACAATTTTTTTATAACATTTATTTATTCAAAACTATATCTATTAATAGCCAAAGTGTGTAGCAGTTTCACTTAAAACGTCAATTATAAAGAAATTTATGGACGGAGAAAGTGTATTCACATTAAACAAGAGTATTTCTTATACACAAAAGTGAAGAATTGTAAAATTAAATTTTAGATATTTAAAAAAAAAATACAAAGTTGTTTCGAATACGAACAGCGGAACGTATGCTATCATTCTTTCAAAATAAAACACACCATTACTAGCCCTACACTCAAGTTATGCTCGGAACTTTTTTTATATTCATAATTTTATTGATAATTTGATCAAATAATATAGTCATACTAATAGATATATTAAAAAGTAAAATATTATTATTTATTAGCTTTCTTATTACATTAAATAAGATTTTTTGATATTATTACTCGTTTTGTATGAAGTATATATGCATTACTAGTACTTTGTGTGCATAGAGTAATGCTCCATATACCAAAATAAATTCTTTAATTTCTCCCCTGAATTGAGTGGTACTGTGGTAGGAAGTAACTCGCCATTATTCATGAGGAAGTTCACCCAAGTTAGAGCTCCAGCCGAGGTGGTTTGCTCTTTGTGCTTCATTAGATTGAAAATTGTATAAATAGATACTCTGTATTACTTGGTAATATAGTGTATAACATTAAAAAAGAAAATTATTTAATATATGACAATGTCTAGATCTTCTCTAATACCCAAATTAATTATTAAATATATTAAATAAATGCTTATTTGAAAATTTTAAAAGGCTCATATTTATAATCATTAAGAAGATGTATAAATTCACAACAAGAAATGAACCCATCTTCCATGGATAAATTCCATGGCTCAAAATGAAATTCCGTGGCAGACAAGGATTTTGCTACGAACCTGCGACAAAGTGACATCGTGGCAAAAAACTTGTGGCAAATTTCTAATTTGCGGAGGAAACGGTAGTCCGTGGCAGATCTGCCACGGATCTGCAACGGAGCTTTTTTCTTTCATACCATTCAATTCATATTCTTCGAAAGAAGAATGTTCTTGTAGCAGATTTGTCACGGAATCAGCCACAGATTACCTTTGTTTTGAAACGAAATTATTTGCGACAGAATGTGTTTCTGTGGCAGATCCGTAGCAGACAGGCTGACCCTATAGCCACATTCTACTCGTTTTCTTATTATTAAAATACATAATTTTGTAAAATTCTTACATTATCGAGTCGTTCAGTCAAGTTTGACCCATTTTTAACGAGTTATTTTGGATTTTGTCGTCTTCAGGTCCGGTCAACCAAATTTATAATCAAAATTTAGTATTTTCGGATCGAATCTCGAATGAGTTACGGCAGGGCCGGCCCCGAAAAATGAAAAAATAAAATTGGTCCGGTCCAAAATTTACATTTTGTGCCATATTTTATATTTTTAGAATACTTTTACTTTAAAATTATTAACAAATTTAAAAATATGGTGTCCTAAATTTTAAAGGGCCCTGTACAGTTGACCACTTTGCACACCCTCCGGGCCACCCACGAGTTACGAGTCTCATTTTTTGCCGGGTCTTTTGCGGGTCATCCTTTGTTGCTGTTATGGGTCCGTATTTAGGGCTCAAGCGTTAGGAATTAGGATAATATATCCCAATTTGATGGGCCATATGTTGCAAGCTAATTGCCCTGCACGAAACATTGTGTGATGGTAAAAAATAAATGCGGGGAAGAGAATTGATGTAGACAGACTATTACAATAAAAAAGTTACCGTCTCTTTGGATTTTTTACAGCAAAATTAATGGATTTTAAGGCAAATGTTGGAAAACTAGACCGAACATCGAACCAAATTAGCTACTGGGTCAAGGGTAAATCGGTTGAATCGGAGTGACTCGGGTCGATGACCCAATCAACAATCCATTGATAATAATATAATATTCATATTTATGTTTAGATAGTAGAAAATTAAATAATACCGTGTTTTGTGAACTATTTTTAAAGATAAAAAAATATCATCACATAACATATATGTCTATTATTTCTAATTAAATAATACAAAGCATATACTCCCTTCGTCTAACTTTAATCTTTTTATTTGGACCGAAGACACATATTAAGAAAATATGTAAATGTCATTTTCAATGTTAAATAAAAATATTTTAATTTATGTTTTTTCTTCTCAATGTTATTCTCAATGTCATTGTTCATATACTCTTTCACACTTTCTATATTTTATTAAAGTTAGTACATATTTCTTCAAACATGTAATATTTCTTTTTTTACTTTTTATGTAATATTTATTTTTTTACTTTGAAATATTTTAAAAGTTTATAAAATAATTATACTACACAAACATGTTCTTTTTTTACAAATAGTTAGAAGTTCTTTTTTTAATTTACTCAACTCAAATAAAAAAGACGATATATATTATTCTGTATGACTTTAGCATGGGAGTTTGGGACACGTGCTTGGTAGCTTATTAAGTGGTTATAATGTTAGAGAGTTGTGTGATGAGGTTTTGTGTTCAAATCCTATCTCAAAGACTTTATTTTATAGACATACAAAAACGAGAAAAAAATTGGACCAAACTCGTGAGTCAGGCGGGTCGACTCGGTCCACCGGATTTGCTAGGTGCAGCGGGTTTGGGCGGGCCGATACAAATCCGGGTTTCACAATTGAACTGGACCGAAATGCTATCCGATTCGCGTCTGGTTCCAATAACATTGCTTTATAGTAGCGAGGTAGTGAGTTTTTAGAGATCCTGTCATCAGATTAGTTTCGTTGCCACTACAAAGTTGGGGGTTCGAATTGACATGGATAGGGGGTGGGTTCGAGTCGGGTAGAAATCATCAATCTTGTGAAGGAACACCTGAATGTCCAATCTCACCAATTTTCTTCCCATCCAATTCCTCTATTGTGGAAACTGTGTCGTCACCACCCATGACCGCTACATTATAACAAGGTCCCCTTCTTTTGGCGAGCAATATACAAGGACGAAAATCGTAAGAGCACCACCAAGGAGAATTTGTGTGCGAGATCCATAGCGACGACTTCTTGGCCAAAATCCCAACGAAGGCATTGGCGTCCGAAGGATTGCTCGAGCGGACGTCTTCTCGGCCAACTTGTTTGAAGAAATTCTCATATTTGTCTATAAATAACTAATAAAAAAATCTTATTTAATCTAGTGATAAAATATATTAAAATTTATCTATTTCCACGTAACCTTAAAACAATACATAAAAGTTACGTAACTTATACATTCTAAACGATCGATCAAAATTTTTTAAAATCTAAATTGGATAGAATATCTTCTCAACCCACACCAACAAGCACCGGTCATGGGATTCCACCAATATGTTGGTGTGTGTAGTGTACGTAAAATCAAGTAGCCTTTCGCGCGTAATCAGCGCACAGTTCTCCACATCCATCCACGTGGCACACCTTTGGACGAAATCCGTCAGCTTTTCCCAGCATCTATCGTGAAACGGCTGTCGTTTCGCACTTAACGCCCCCCTACCCAACTGGGCCGAGTGGCATTTACTTTAATGCCCTCCCACGATTCCCACATTTACTGTCCTGCCATCGTCTTCCTCCTGCTATAAATCCAGGCTTAAACAATCGCTAGGTTTGCCAAACTGAAGAGCCTCAGGGCACTTTAGAAGAAAGATCTTCTCTAAGATTTCTTTCTTTTTTTTTCTTCTGTTTTTTCAGTTATACTTTCTCTCTCTCTCTCTCTTTCAATCAGATCTCAGATATGTCTAATTCTTCTAGAAGATCGTCTATAAGGTCTAGCTTGCAGCGTTCGCTCTCGCCGTCCGGCCGGTTCTTCACGCCGGCGGCGGAGAAGGATGTGTCCTCGTTCGCGTCGTCTACCAGCTCGAGCTTTTGCTCGACTCCTTCGTCCGGTTTCTTCAACAGATCGGCGTCCCCTACGCGCGTGAATCTCCACGGCTTTGCCTTGGCGGCTCCGACGCCGTCCGTTCGGTTCTCGATCGACCGATCTATCTCTCCCAGGCGATCCGTGGCGGTTTCTCACCGAGATCAGGTGGTCAGGAGGCAGAACGGCGGAAATCCGTTGGCGAATCTCCCGAAGAAGACGTGCCTGTGCTCTCCGACGACGCATCCAGGTTCGTTTCGTTGTAGTTTGCACAAGAACGCGACCAGCAGGCCGTCGATTTCGTACTCGCCGAACCGATTGAATGCTCGGAGGTCAGCAATGACGAACTCCCTGGTCCGGATCGGGACCGTGGAGGGGGATTTGGTGAAGCGAGCTTTGGCTGCTCTCATCCGACCTTCTTCCCACCAGCAAAGGCGCCGGGGAGACTTCCAGCCCAGGCCGAGCCGCCTTTCAAGGATGTCAAAAGCCGATGATCTCTGAGTGGTTCTCCGATAAAGGTTGGTAACAGGTTGGCGGTGGATTCCGGCTGCGGTTTTTAGTTCTCCGGTGAATCGAAAGCCCTATATCCAACAGATTACAGTTTTGGTACATTCACGAAGGATCTGGAAGATCTTGTACATATGAATCCCAGCGATCTGATAACAATCAAAGAACATGTTTGAACTTTTTTGGCATCCATCTGAAAAACTTAATTTCCAAAAAGAAAAAATGAATTCTCTGATTGCTTTCGATCTAAATTGTAAAAAAAAAAGAAAAAATCGGACTAGAATTCATTTGAAGAAATACGCGAGGATTGAATATATGTGGATTGATTGAATGGACTTTCGTGTGTGTTGGGCGTTCGTTTCCGTTTGTTATCCGTCGACGTTTCCCCGCCGTTTCACTGTTCCGGCGTAACAGAATTTCCCGTCGTGTTTGCGTTTGCCTTTCGTGTTCAGAGGTACAAAGGACAGCTCATTATTGCGATTTGTTTATTATTGATTTTTTTCCCCCTTGTTGATAATCATTATTAATGCTAAGTTGTTTCTTTATGAAGTTATCAATACGCAGGAATGGCGTCATGGCGTGGAATTCATTGAATTTGGAAATTGATGAGTGGGAAAAAAGGAATATCCCTTCGGATTTTGGACTCAATTGGGCTCTCTGGATTGGAACCTAAACCCTAGCTTTTGTTGAACCGGAAAATTCTGACCCTTAACCGTATGAAAGAGGCTTAGGAAAAAAAATCAAAGGAAACGAACCGAGGACCAATTTGATTAATTCATATTAAAAGGTCAACCTTTTCATTCACTCATATTGAAGGACAATGCGGTTAAAAAATTTATGAACCTTAATATATACACACAAATACACATCATTACAAAATTGAAAATATCAATTTGAAAGGTCATTAAAAGTTAACAAAAAGTTTATATTTTACCCATCAACTTTAAAATTAAAACAGATTACAAGGAGAGATGCCAAATTGGGTGGTCACAAATTAATTCAGAAACTTTGGCCCCACCATGCCTTGAAGTAATAAATTATATTTTGACAATTTTTTAGGGACAGATGAATACTCCCTCTATATCCTATAATGATATTCTCAGAGCACTATTCCAACTTCACGAGAATTTATATTTATTTGTGTTTTTTCATGGCCTATATGATAAAATAAAATATTCTTGTTACCACTTGTTTTGTTGAACTTTTGATGTAGTTCTTAAATATGTGTGTTTTACTCCGTATTTTTTATTTCTATACCAATATTTAAATAAAATAGATTGAAAAAACTTGGGATTTTTCTTCGTTTTGCGAACCGGGAAGATCATTATAGGACGGAGGGAGTATTTAATAAATCGTATCACCGGTTCTGACTTATATGTCCGATCAATTCTGAGGAGTCTTCAGAGATGGAGTTCATATTTTTTTTAAAATAAATTATACTCCCTCCGTCCACAAATAAACTTTACGTTGCGCGTTATGATGTTTGACTAAAGTTATTTTCAAATCATTTTATATGAAAAATGGTGTAGAATTGAAAAATAAAAATTACATATTAAAAAACTATATCAAAAGATCTACAAAACTAGAGGTGACATGACTATATTATTTTATCAAATGGGTGACGAAAATAGACCAACAAAATAAATAAAGTTTGACCCTGTGAATAGTGAACGTAAAGTTTATTTGTGGACGGAGGAAGTATGTTTTTGAAAAACTCTGCTAGTTTATTTCTTCACACGAAGAAAAGGAATTTTTTTAAAAACGTTACTCCCTCCGTCCAACAATAAAGTTCATGTTCACTATTCACATGGTCAAATTTTATTCACTTTGTTGGCCTATTTTTGTGTCTTATTTGATGAAATAATATAGTCACGTCACCTCTAGTTTTGTAGATCTTTTCATGTAGTTTTTAAATATGTAATTTTTATTTTTTTTAATTCTATATCATTTTTCATATAAAATTATTTGAAAATAATTTCAATCAAACATCGTAACGCGCAATGAGAACTTTATTTGTGGACGGAGGAAGTACAACCTCTATGGGAATAAAAGATCCCACTTTGATATGTCAAAGGGAATAAAAGAATAAAATTTGTGGTAGTAAGTGATGGAAAGGAGAAAATAATTATACGGATTATAATTTTTTCTAAAAATGGAAGATAAAATTATTTTTGGAACAAATAAAAGATTGAAATATGAAATTTTTAATGAGACGAAAGGAGTATATCTTCATTTTAGGTCTTTTAGCACTGCCCTTAAAGTATAATCACCGTTTGATCGAAGTGGGATTCATCATTTTTTTCTCAGTTTGGCAACTTAAAAAGTATGCATTACCCATTCCATATTACATCCTTAACTCTCAACCAACTAACTTTTAAATTGTGTTTAAATTGAAGGAACTAAGAAGAGTGGAAGGGTAATGAAAGGAGAAGACTTGTTTATTTCCTACCTCATGTTTGTTTTGGAATACATTTTTTTAATAGTGTAAACATATTTAATCAGTTTTTGTACTAGCGTAATTTTTTATTTTATACATGAGGTTTTAGAAATGTTAAAAAAGTAAGAGGTTGAAGGATAAAATTTGTTTCAAGAAAAAATAATTTAAGTTTTTGAGGCGGTTTCTCTCTCTAACCATGGGAAAGAGGGGACGACCATCGAAAACCACTGGGAAATTCGACGGCGATCCTCCAAAGTCGCCGGATTTGCAATCACAGATACCGGATAAGGAAGAACCTTCGTCCTCTAATACATTTCCTCCTGATCTAGAAGAAAAGAAAGATCCACAAATTGTAAATCTGGAAGACGAGGAACCAAAATCCAAGGAGAAGAAGAGCTATGCAGAAGTCGTGGGAATTCAGGAGGATCTCAATTTCTCCCAAAAATACATCCCGATTGAAGAAATCGAAGGTCAAAGCATTGTCCGTCTAACCAAGGAGGATGTCATAGAACCAGGTACTTATTGGGAATCTGCTTTGGTGTGTTGTATCCTGGGAGCAAATCCTCCTCTGAAAGTAGTGAAAGGATTTGTATCTCGTATCTGGTACACATATAGAATAGAGGATGTGTCACATTTAAAAGATGGGCAGTTCATTGTTAGGTTTTTTAAGGAAGAAGACATGGATGAAGTCCTTAAACGAAAATATTTTTATATGGATAATAAACCAGTCTACGTGCAAAAATGGTATCCTGGCTGTAAGGTAAACATCCTGGAGAGGAAGGATATCCCAATTTGGATCCAACTACCTGACCTTGAGATGAAATATTGGAGTTTATCTGGGTTGAGCAAAATTGGAAGTGCGATTGGACAACCAATAAAGAGGGATAAGGCAACAGCAGCTAGATCTAAATGGGCTTATGCTCGGATTCAAGTAGAAGTTCAGGTAAATCAGACATTTCCCGAACAAATTAATTTTGTTAATGAGGAAGGAAGAATCATCACCCAATCTATTTAATATGAATGGGCTCCCTATCTATGCTCTCATTGCAACAGAATTGGACACCTTGTTGAAAATTGTAGAAGAAGGAATACTCCTAAGGGAGAGGTACCAACAAAGAAACTGTTTGTGTGGAGGCCTAGAGTAACCCAGAAAGAGTCTAAACCCTATTTGGAACCTGGAAATAATCAAAGTAAAGCTGAGGAGATTGAAACTAGCAAGGCTAAAGAGAATGAGGATAATCCAGATCTAGACCCTCAACCTCTGGAAGCAGAATTTGTAGAGGTAAATAAAAAGAAAGCTGCAAAGAGAGTATCGTTGGAACCAGATGGAGTGGATTTATATGTTAGTGGTATCCATAAAGATCTATGTTTAGCCCCATATGAGGGCCATCGTCCTTTTCTGTTATGATAGGTTGCTGGAATATCAGGGGGCTAAATAGTCAAAATAAACAGCATGAAGTCAAGAATATAATAAGTAAATATGATATTACTATATTTGGTATATTGGAGACAAAGATCAGGGATGAAAGATTCAGAGATATTGAAAACAATATGTTCAGTGGCTGGGGTTCTTTTATTAACAATAATGTCCATCCTCTTAGCAGAATTTGGGTTGTTTGGAACAGAAATAAGGTAAATATTACCATCCTTGACAGTACTGAGCAAACTGTACATTGTCATGGAAGATTTCTGGGTGATGAAAAGGAATTCTACTTGACATTTGTATATGCTCACAATGATCAACAGAAAAGAAGAGTCTTATGGGATACACTTCAAAGACTGATAGTGCCCTACCCTTGGTGTGTCCTGGGGGATTTCAATTTCGTACTATACTTGGATGAAAGAGTAGGAGGTTTACCTGTCAGCGGGGAGGAAACTAAACAATTCAAGGAATGCCTTAACATGTGTGGTCTAGATGATCTACCCTATGAAGGAGCTAAATTCACTTGGACAAACAATCAATGTATTGATAAGAGAATTTATTCAAAACTGGATAGAGTCTTGGGTAATATTGAATGGATTTCCGGATTTGAATATAAGGTCATATTTAAAGAGAAGGGTATCTCTAACCATTCTCCTATGATCCTAAAAAGCATAGACCAAAGGAAAAGAAACCATATGTTTAAATTCTATGACATGTGGACTTTAGATCCTTGTTTTCCGAGGCTGGTGAGTGAGATCTGGAATCAGAACCACAAAGGACAGCTCATGAATCAAGTCTTCCAAAAGCTTAAACAACTAAAACCTGGACTGAGACAATTGAATAGAAGAAATTTCCTACACTTGGACACAGAGATTGATGAAATCAGAACAAAACTTCATATTGTTCAAGAGGAAATGAAAAAATACAGGGATAGGGCAGATATCCTTCATATGGAAAGGGAACTGACCAAGGAACTAAACCAGAAACTAAAAGCTAGTCACCTAATGAAGAACTAGCAAGCCAAGGCATATTGGATTACTTATGGAGACCAAGATTCTAAATTGTTCTATGCTAGATAAAGAAAAGAAGAATTCAGAATCACCTAACATCTATTGCAAATCTAGAAGGGGCAGTTGTAGAAGGGAAAATGGAGGTGGCTAGAGTACTTGTGGACTACTACCAAAAACAGTTGGGTATTACTCTGGGGACTGAAGATATTAATGGGGACATAGTTAATATGGGGGCATGTCTTTCCATTAATCAGCAACTACTACTAATCTCCCCAGTTACCCCTGAAGAGATCAAGAAGAGTTTGTTTGGCATCCTGAATAGTAAAAGCCCGGGGCCTGATGGATACAATAGTGGTTTTTTAAAGAATCAATGAAAACAAGTGGGAGGACTTGTGACTTCTGCTATACAAGAGTTCTTTAATAAGGGTGATACTATAAAGCAGATAAATGCCACTAACCTTGCAGTTATCCCCAAAAATGATGACCCAAAGAGCCCCGCAGATCTTAGACCTATAGCATGCTGCAATGTCCTATATAAGATTATTGCTAAGGTCATTTGTGGGAGAATGAAACAGATTCTGCCTAATATTGTCAGCCTAACTCAGGGTGCATTCATTGAAGGGAGGGAGCTTGTCCATAATGTCCTATTATGCCAAGAGCTTGCTAGAGGATATAATAGAAAGAATATATCCCCCAGATGCCTGATGAAGCTAGATATACAAAAAGCCTACGACAATATCAGCTGGAGAGCTATTGAACAGTTGCTTAACTTATTAAAGTTCCCCTCAAAATTTGTCAATTGGATTAGATTCTGTGTAACTACCACAACCTACTCTATTCAACTCAAAGGTGAGAGTTATGGGTTCTTTAAAGGAGGCAAGGGATTGAGACAAGGTGATCCTATCTCACCCCTTCTATGTGTGCTTATCATGGAATATCTTACTAGATCCTTTCTCTTTTACGCTAGTAAGATAAGGTATGGGTATCACCCACTCTGTAAATCTCTGAATCTTATCAGCATCAGTTTTGCGGATGATCTAATTGTTGCTTACAAGGCTGAGGAACAATCTATTAACTGCATAATGATGGCTCTGAAACATTTTAAAGATACCACAGGATTGTCAATCAGTCCAACAAAATCTGAGATTATCTTTGGTGGAGTCACAAAACAGTTAGAAGAAAAAATTCTGTAGGCAACCAAAATGAGAAAAGGGGTCCTGCCACTCAGATATCTAGGAGGGCCTGTTACCTCTGCCAGAATTAGCGAGAAGGATTGTGAGAGACTCTTGAAGAAAATGACCAGAAAGATTAATTCTTGGATGACTAAGCATTTATCCTATGCTGGTAAGGCTAAACTAATAAATTCTATCTTGTATGGAGTCATTAACTTCTGGAGTAGAATCTTCCTACTCCCAGGCAAAGTCATGAAGGAAATTCAAGCCCTCTGCAGAAACTTTCTTTGGGGATCAAATCAAGAACATAAAAAAACTCCCTTGGTAGCCTGGGAAGATGTTTGTATGCCAAAGAAATACGGGGGTCTCGAGTTCAAGAACCTAATCTACTGGAACAAGGCATGTGTTATGAAGTTGGTTTGGGATATTGCACTGAAGAAGGACATTTTATGGATCAAATGGATCCATACTAAATATATTAAGGATAGTACCATATGGGATTATCATGGTAAAAAGGATGATTGTTTCTACTGGAAGAAATTGATACAAACCAGAGACAAATTTGCTCAGATGGACAGGGGAATAATGTATACTCCAGATGTGGGATATCAATGGTTACTGGGGCAGCAACATTCTGTCAGGTGGGCTGAATTGGTCTGGAACAAACTTACCATTCCAAAGCACAAAATTATTCTCTGGCTCATTTGCAAGAACAAAATCCAAACCAAGGTAAGGCTGAGCAAATTCCTCTCGATTGATACTCTATGTCTTCTCTGCCAGAATGGTGATGAGGACAGCCAACATCTATTCTGCACCTGTCCTTATGCTAAGGAGATATACATGAAGGTCTATAGCTGGTGCTCATATAAGTTTGAGGATGACAATTTTGAAGGGATGATTACAAAGATCCAAAATATCACTCCCATGAAGAAAAGAAAGAAGATCACTGTCATATTTGCAGCATGCTCATACTACATATGGAGATGTAGGAATCAGAAGCTGCACAAGAATATTGTTATCTCTACAGAGGAAGCATTTCACTGGATAAAGGGTCATGTTAGCATCTTCCTGCGCTCAAGACAGACAGACGTAGGCTAAGGTGGATGCTTGGGTGTACTGTATTTCGTTTTATTGAACTCTGATTTTGTTGTAGTAGGCTTGGAATGGATTACCTTTATACTCGTATCTGTTTTTGTATATTGGAAGATGAATAAAGTCTCTGCTTTCGGTTCAAAAAAAAATTAATTTTGAGAAATGCAAATTTAATTTTGAAACATAAAAAATAAAAAGTACTCCTCTGACTTTATTTTATGAAATTTGTACTAAATAGTACTAAAACATATGTTATTTTCTAATATAATTAGGGGTGGACTTGAAATCCGTTCTTGTTGGACCGTTCCAAAAAATCCCGGATCCGTTTTGTAATTGTTCCGAATAATTGGGACACTCTTTTTTATCCCGAACTCGTTTCGTCCCAATATTAAATGGGACATGAGTAGGACAACTTAAATTTATACCGATCCGTCCCGTTTGTCCCGTTTCATCTACTCTTCTAATATATAATACTAATTCTAGTCCAAAATCCAAATACATTCATTCTTTAATCAATTAATTAAGTTAACTTCATAGGCTTGAGATTTCAGTTCAAAGTTTATTAAATTTATTTGGTCCCGTTTCACTCATTGTTTTTTATTGGATGGATAGATGTTTCTCTTTTTTTGAATGAAATGTCACCCTCTCCCCCTTCTTATATTTGCGATTAGGACAAAGTAGGACGACCCGAATCCGTCCCGTTTTGTTCCGATCCCGAATTTTGTGGGACAAACCGGGATAAGATTGTAATCTAAATCGTTCCGGACCGTTTATATATAACTGGACTAAACGTGGGACAACTTAAAATTTGGACCGTCCCGATACGTGCCCACCCCTAAATATAATACTTAAATTGTTTTATTCTCTAAATAGTACTTGAATAATGTCTAGTGACGGAAACAATGTCCGGTAATAGTGGACATTTAGTTTGAACAATGTCCAATAGCGGTGTGTAGTTACTTGTACAATGACGAGTGGATATTGAACAGTAGTACCACATCGGTAAATAAAAACATATGGTACTACATTGAGAAAGTCATTATGTTTTAATACTATTTAGGAAAATTCTCCTGTAATTTAGGGCCCAGTAGAGAGGTAAACATGGGAACCCCACCCAAACCTTAAATGTCGTCTTCCACGAAGTATAATTTATCGTTGACATTAAATTTTGACCTCAAAATCAACTAAATCAACCTTACAATTGATACTAGTGGGGGATGGATTGGGATCGGGACTGAGTGAGGGGTTTATCAGGGGATTCGGAGGGATATGGACATAACTCTGCGAAAAGAGAATACCCTAAGTGATCCAATTAGGAAGCTATCCTTCGTGGCCACTTAAAATGACTGGTCGTAGAACCTGACCAAACTTGTTAACCTTAAAATTGACGGATTCATTTAAGAATAATAAGCGCCTTTTGAACTCCTTTTGGTGGGAGAGTAAAGGAATTAACTCTTCAGGTAGTCATTGGATGTCTTGGCAGCGACTATCGACCCCTAAGAAGTTCGGGGGATTGGGTTTTAAACAAATACGTGAATTCAACGTGGCCATGATAGGTAAACAAGGATGGTGCCTCTTAACAAAACCGGAAGCACTCGTGACTAAAGTATTCAAAGCTAGGTACTTTCCCAAAACATCATTCCTGGAAGCCTAGTTGGGAAGTAATCCAAGCTACTGTTAGAGGAGCATACTGGAAGCAAAAAATTTGATTTCAGATGGAGTGAGGAAGCGGATTGGAGACGGATCTAACACTCTTGTGTGGGGAGATCCATGATTGGCCGATAGGGTGAATTCCTTTATTCTCACTCCCCGACCACCTTTTATGCATATTCTTCCTGTTTGTTTCTTGTTGAATTGTGATGCAGGTGGATGGAATTTAGAGGTTGTGCAAAGTTTATTTTGCCCCAGAGATATGGACCAGATCAGTAGGGTACCACTTCAACTAGATAGTGAGGACAAATGGTATTGGGCAGGAGAGACACATGTGGAGTACTCCGTCAAAGAGGCTTATCGTCGATTGGTTGGCGAAACTACGTCAACTCTTGGTTTCTCTCAATGGGGTCAGATTTGGAAAATTCCAATTGCTCCTAAAATTAGAATCTGCCTTTGGCGTACAATTAGAAATATCCTTCCGGTCAAGGTGGCGTTGATTACGAAAGGTATGGAGATCGAGATTGAATGTCCAGTTTGTGGTGGTGCTGCAGAAACCATTGATCATATATTTCTTCAATGTCCTTTGGCTATTGAAGTCTGGAACTTATTGGGATGGTCCTGTCATCTTGTACAGACAGAATCATTGGTTGAATGGATGGAATACCAATTTTCAAAGCATTTTGTTAAGGAGCTTAAGTTGGTAGCCGGAGTTATATGGGCAATTTAGAGAGCCAGAAATAAGGCGGTTTGGGATCATTACATCCCTTCACCGCAATCTGTGGCAAGCTGGGTCAGAGAAGCCTTACTAGATCCGCCAAACAGACCTGGTCAAATTGGAAGACATGAGTCGATGCAAGTTTCCCCGAGATCAGAGCACAAAGTCTTTCGATGTTATGTTGATGCAGCCATATTCCCTTCATCTAAAGAGGTCGCTTTTGGGAGCGTCATCTTTAATTCGGGAGGTTCCTTCTATGCTGCTATAAATGGAATGATGCAATGTCCTTTAGAACCGGTGATGGCAGAGGCTATGGCATGTAGAGAAGCTCTTACCTGGGCTAGAGTTAACGAGATCCAAGACGTGGAGCTCCTTACGAATTGCAGGTGGGTTGTGGAAGCTCTTTGTGAAAGAAACACCCAGGTTTTTTCTTATCTTGGAACTATATTAAAAGATTGTAAGGCTCTTTTAGCTCAGTTTAATTCGACATTTGTTTCTCATACTCCTCTGGAAGCTAATGGTATCGCTCACACAATTGCTCGTAGTGCGATATCTCAATCTTCTACGTGGAATACATCTCCCTTGAATTGTATTTCTCATTTATTGGAATGATATCAAAATTTGATTTCCTTCAAAAAAAACTGTCTAGTTACTGAGAATTTACAATTAACATACACCGAGTAACAAATAACAAAGTCATTTAAGTAACTTATTCAATATTTTAACTCATTATGATTAAAAAAAATTGAGATCAAAATAGAATTGCAAAAAAACAATTTTATTTTATTTTGAACTGTTCAAAGCATACGTTTTAAAAATGGGAATAGGACGCCGGTGATGTAATGAAAATTCAAATAAATAAATAAATGGTTCACGCGGTGGACATGTTTATACTTTATAGTCTTTGCGTGTCCGTATAAACTTTTTTTGCTTATAAAAGTCTCATTTTTAGCTACTCACCATATCATATACCTCTGCTTTTTTTTTTTCCTTTTGGTTGAGTTTAAAAAAAGTTAATCATCGTATTTTAAATTAATAGTTTTATTTTTTTATTTGTTCTATAATGATTGTCTCATTATTTGCTTTATTAATATAAAAAAATTGTACTCCTTAATAATTTCTTTATTTAGTTAATACAGAAAAACAGAAAATGACACCTTTTTAAAGAGGAAGGATGGTGAGGGTGGAGTGTGGGGGGTAGGTGAATGGCGGGAATTGGAAGCAGGACGGGTGTGGAAGATTAAGGGGTAGGAACCATCAATTTTACGAACGGAGAATCGTAGGTTTCTGGGGTTATTTGAAGGTCATTTTCACATTTTTCATTTGCAGACAAATGAATCATTTTCTTCTTACAAAATGTTTAATTCTTTTAGAGTATTTATATATACTAAGATCCATTAAACGAGTGTGAACCTTAAGACTAAATAAGAATTTACAGGATAACTACCACACAAAAAAATGTCATATTAACCATACATTTTTTCGCGTATTTTTTTCATCTTCACTTTTTATAATATTTATCAGATTTTAACCACTTTAATTTATTTTTCCTACTTTTTCCATCTTTGCGGTCACTCTTTATACACTTTTATTTTAATTATCTTTATGTCAAGAGTAATTTGGAAAAGCCAATGCATTTTTCAAATTTGCATTAATAATTCGGAACTCGAAGAGAAAAGAGAAAATGATGGTAAATAAATCATTAAATACGACATCAAAAGATCATATTGAGGAGAGGGCAAATTGTTTCATGGTCTTAAAGCTTACACTTATTTAAGAACCTTAATGTATTAATAGCATAAAAATTTTGAGCCTTTTATAAAAAAGCCTATTATATCAAAGAAATACTTATTACGTAGTACGGAGTATATTCTTATCTTGTAAATAAGAGTCTTATGTTGACATTGTAAGCGCCACAATATGAAATTGGTGGTTGACATTTCACAATACTTTTTGGATTTATGTATTTTTTTAAAAATGAATTATATGTTGAAATTACTTGGAATTATAATTTTAATTTTGGTAAAAAATATCGAGGTTTCATAATCTACACAATAAAGGGAAAGCGAGCATTTATAGAAAGAAAATATTTTTTTACCTAAGCTAAATGCAAATAACACATTTACTTTGCCCGGCCCGAAATTCTATGTCTAGTTTCAGAATTTAGCTTGTGTTTGGATGGAGTGAAATTAGAAGAAAAGTAAAGGTTGGGAGGGAAAACACAATTCCCAAAAAAAATTTCCATTGTTTGTTTGCATGAGAAAATGGAGAGAAAAAGGAAAATGACTTCCACCCCAAACCAAAAAATTTTCTCTTCTCAAGAGACAAGAAAATGGTTTAGATGGAGAGAAAACTATGGAAGTGGCACTTTTGCCCTCTATTGCATTCACTTTTGAAAAACATAAATATATAAAAAGGGTGAAATTGTCTTTTTATTTTAACATATTTTCTTTCCACTTACCTTTTCTTTCCATTTTCTACCCATCCAAACAACATTTATTTTCTTTCGATTTTATCTTCTTTCCCTTTTCTTTCTATTTAATTTCTCTCCTTCCATTTTCTCTCTTTATCCAAATATATAATACCTTAAGGTGTACTTGGATTGAGAGGAGTGGAAGAGGAATGAAAATGTAGAGAATGAGATATTTTTGCTTTGTATTGAAAGTATTTGGAGGGAGAGGAATTGAGAGTACTAACGTTATGTTCTCTTCACACTATATGATTGGTTCTAATTGGATCTAGATAATTTCTGATCTGGTCTAATTGAAAGTATATTTAGTATTAAGTCAGACCCGATTTCAATAAGGATTAGGATGCATTCCGTTCGCCAAATCTGATTTTTTAAAGATCTAGTCTAATCTGATTTGATTGTAGTTATATTAAAATTGTTTATGATCTGATCTGGTTATAATAAAAATAAGAAATAAGTAATAAGCTCTTTTAAAATAAGAATAAGTAATAAACAAAAAAATAAGTTGAACGGAATACAGCTTAAGTTGAGGGCAACATGACCTAATGACTTATTTTTTTCACCTGATTTGATTGATTCTAATATAATTGGTACAAATTCTAAGAGCACCTGATTGTAGTTGTATTTAATGATGTTTTTGACTTGTTACGATTCCAATAAGATTAAGTAATACTCCGTAAATATAAATAGTGCATTTGGGAGTGATAAACTTCTAGGTAAAGTGATTTTTACAAAAGCTGAAAGCAGAAGCACCACGTATCTACTTCTCCGAAATAGTATTCTATGTACAAAATAATGGTAAAGAAAAACAGAAGTTGTGCCAAACAGAATAAAATGATTACCACTGAATAGAAGTTAAATTTTAAAAAGTAACACAGTGCCAAATACTCTCTAAGAATAAGTTGAAGAGAAGAAGCTTTAATTTAGCTCTCATTCACTTTGCTTTACGTTCTATTTTTTGTGTGCTATTGAGTATTGGCTTAATTGCAATATATCATCGGCTCATACTATTCTCAGTTTAATGAAGCACAATAAATCAATGTCTCTTCCTCTGTTGGGGCTTGAACCGTACAACCCCATAAATTTTAGGAAGTTGACTTTCTACCATTCAAGCTAATAAAGAAATTCAATCCATTCCATTTCCTTTATATTGAAGTAAAATGGAGGGAGAGGTACTAATCACATTTACTAAGTACTAACTACTTTTATACTCCCACCGTCTCTAAATATATTTTACATTTTTATTACCGAGATAAAATACTCCCCCCGTCCTATAATGATCTTCCCAGTTTGCAAAACGAAGAAAAATCCCAAGTTTTTTTAATCTATTTTATTTAAATATTGGTATAGAAATAAAAAATAAAACATACATATTTAAAAACTACACCAAAAGTTCAACAAAACAAGTGGTGACAAGAATATTTTATTTTATCATATAGGCCATGAAAAAACACAAATAAATATAAATTCCCGTGAAGTTGGAATAGTGTTCTAGGAAGATCATTATAGGACGGAGGGAGTATTAAGTTTTTTCAATTTATTTTATTTACATATTGGTATAAAAATAAAAAATAAAATTTATATATAAAAAAATTACATGAAAAATTATTCGAAATAAGATGTGTCAAAAATATTTTATTTTATCAAATAATCAATTAAACGTAGAAATAAACAAAAGTTCTCGCGATTGCTGAAAAAACAAATGTGAGATATATTTAGGGACTGAGGGAGTATTAAAAATATATTCTCTCCTCCATTTTGCATTTAATATAAACAAAAGATATTTTCTCCATTTTCTCCTTTTTATTATGACGTGTCTGGTAAGCGTTTGTTTTCTCTCCGGACAATAATCATCTGAATCATCTTTGGTTTGAGGTTTGTGGTCGGGACTCGGGAGCCATTCTCACGTTTACTCCAGGAGGTAATTTTACTGAATTTATGATTTTTTTTAAAAAAAATTCCATTTTAAAAAATCTTGTTAAACCTTTGCAATTTGATGGACTGAGAATCGGAAACCCTATATTGTCTTCTAAAATGTGTTGTGGATTGTTGATGTGAAGAGAATCTGAATCTTCCTTAGGTCTAGTCTTCCAGTTTTCCCTGTCTAAACCTCTTCTTTTTAGGGTTTCAATGAATTTGTTCTTTGGGTTTTGGGGTTTCTTGAGCCTTAATATCATATTTTGATTCATTTCTCAAGATTTGGATTGGTTCTTGTAGCTTGTTTCAAGTTACTAAATTCATGACTGGTTTTTGTTTTTTTGGATCTAGTTGTTTGAGTTGCCATAGCTTTGGTTTTGTTTTTTTTAGTGCAGCTTGTTGGAGTAGAAGCGATGGGAAAGCCTCTTGGGAGGAAGAAAAGCGGCGGCGTTGGGGGCAAGAAACAGGGGAAAGATTCGGGAGAGCGAACCTCAAAGGCATTTGATGAGGACACTGCTGTCTTCATCAACATGTCGCGCGAGCTCAAGGAAGAGGGGAACCGGCTGTTCCAGAGCCGGGACCACGAGGGCGCGATGCTGAAGTACGAGAAGGCCATCAAGCTGCTCCCGCGGGACCACATCGACGTCGCCTACTTGCATAGCAACATGGCGGCTTGCTACATGCAGATGGGGATCGGGGAGTTCCCGAGAGCCATAGCCGAGTGCAATTTGGCCCTAGAAGTTGCCCCCAAGTACAGCAAAGCTCTGTTGAAGAGAGCAAAGTGTTACGAGGCTCTCAACCGGCTCGATTTGGCCCTTAGAGATGTCCGACACGTCTTGAGCATGGAACCCAATAATGTGACTGCATTGGAGACTGCCGATGTTGTGAAAAGGAGAATGGAGGAGAGGGGTCAAACAATTGATGAAGACAAGGAGATAAAGTCACCACCTCCCCCGGAAAACACTAAGGTGAAAAAGAAGAAGGGTAACAAAAAGACAATCAAAGTGGCACCGAGTGCGGATGAGAGGAAGGTGGAGGATGTGAAATTGGTGGTAGAAGAGGAGAAGATAAGTGTGAAGGAAGAAAAAAAAGTGAAGTTGGTATTAGGGGAAGATATAAGATGGGCACAGTTGCCCATCAACTGCACGGTACGTTTGGCGAGGGACATAGCTTTGGACCGGTTTCCAAATCTGAAGGGAGCTCTCCTCAAGTACAGAGACCAAGAAGGGGACTTGGTGACCATTACAACAAATGATGAGTTAAGATTAGCCAAAGCGTCCGTAGATCCTCAAGGCTCTTTAAGGCTCTATGTTGCCGAAGTTAGCCCTGATAAAGAACCCGCATATGAGACGAGTGTTGAGGAAGAAATGACCAAGCTGCCCGATAACAGTAAGAAAGAAGAGAGTGGGGGGCCGATCTGCATTGAGGAATGGATTGTCGAATTCGCCCGGTATTTCAAGAACCATGTCGGCATTGAATGCGACTCGTATTTGGACATTCATGAGATTGGGATGAAACTATACTCGGAAGCTATGGAGGGTACCGTGACAAGCGAAAACGCAGCTTCCCTTTTCGACATTTCTTTAGCAAAATTCCAAGAGATGACCGCTTTAGCGTTGTTTAATTGGGGAAATGTACACATGTCAAGAGCTAGGAAGCGGGTATGCCTTAAGGAATACGATGATGACGCTAAGGAGTCGGTCTTGGGACAGGTAAAGTCCGCTTACGAATGGGCCCACAAAGAATATGAAATGGCTGGAAGACGGTACGAAGAGTCCGTGAGACTCAAACCGGACTTTTACGAAGGCCTTCTTGCACTTGGGCAACAACAGTTTGAGCTAGCAAAACTCTGTTGGTACTATCAAATAGCAAGTGAGACTGATTTATTGCTCACCATGCCATCCCCTGAAGTGTTGGAGATGTATAACAAGGCAGAGGAAAGTCTGGAAAGAGGGATGGAAATGTGGGAGGAGATGGAAGAAGAACGCCTTAATGGGCTGTCCAAATACGAGGAACACAAAGCCCAGTTGAGGGATATGGGGTTGGATGGGCTACTCAAAGACATCACGCCGGAGGAAGCCCAAGAGCAAGCTACAAACATGAGGTCTCAGATTTACCTGTTGTGGGGTACCTTACTGTACGAGCGGTCCGTTATGGAGTATAAGGCGAAGTTGCCGAGTTGGGAAGAATGTCTAGAAGTTGCCGTTGAAAAATTTGAACTCGCCGGAGCTTCTCAAACGGATATAGCTGTCATGATAAAGAACCATAATTCTAATGACACTGCATTGGAAGGTAATCAAAGGAAATGGAAAATTTATGTGTTCATCTAGCTGGTCTATTGTTCCGTCCTTTAACAAAATGTCATGTTTATGAAAATGGTTGGGTTCTAGAGCCACTCAAAGTGCTTCGGAGGACACTTGCTCAATTTGCACACCTACGGTGTCCTTTTCCTAAAATTGATAGCACCTACCTTCCTAACTCCATGGTAACCCCCCCCACCCACCCCCGGTGTCAATTGCGGGGTGCAAGTTTAGTTTATCGGGGGATAGAAACTATCAATTTTACAAACGGAGCACCATAGGTGTGCCAATTGAGTTAGTGTCCTTTGATACCACTCCAAAGGAGTGGGCTCTAGAACCGGATCGTTATAAAAAATTGTAAAAATTGAAATTTGCACTAAATAGTACTAAAACATATGTCATTTTTAATGTAGTACTTAAACTTTTTTATTCCCTAAATATTACTTGAATAATGTCTAGTGGCGGGAACAATGTCCAGCGATGGTGGACATTTAGTTTGAACAATGTCCAGTGGTGGTGGACATTTACTTGAACAATGACCAACGGACAATGAGTGACTGTACATTAGGAAATAAAAACATATAGTACTACATTGGGAAAATCACTATGTTTTAGTACAATTTAGGTAAATTTCTTTTAAAAAAACCCAAAAAAGGAGTTATGTTTGATCAAAAGAAACAACTTTTTCACCAATAATTTATTGGTAATGGTCTTTATTCTATGCTTGTACCTTGTTTGTGCTTGTGGTTTCTTTGTCTGTACTTTCTGTGTTTGAGCCAAGAGTCTCTTGGAAACAACCTACCTACTACCAAGTAGGGGATTTTACTGGGCCCTCCCCAGACTAAAGTTTTTGCGGGATTTTACTGGGTTTGTTGTTTTATATATTTAAAAAGTTGAAAAATGTTATGGTATAGGTTTCAAGATTGATGAGATAGTGCAAGCCTGGAACGAGATGTACGATAGCAATAGATGGCGCACTGGTGTTCCGGCTTTCAGACTCGAACCATTGTTCCGCAGACGTGTTCCCCACCTTCATTCATTGTTGCAGACTTTTTGAGTTTTGATATTTGAGACGGGCACATATGATTGGCATACCTTCTTATACTTTTGGCATGTGATTTGCCAATATTATAGGTGAATCAATGCTCCTAGTTTTAAAAATTTTCAAATATATATATATATATATATATATATATATATATATATAGACACACACACACACACATATATAATTTTGAGATCTTAGTATTTAGAGGAACACTCCAAGATTCTAGGAGTAAAACGTATTGTCAATGCTCACAGGCATTCAAATATTTTTACAGAAGAGATTTTCTTAGATGCGATCAATTTGCAATCTTGGAATATTATTGTAAAAATATTGAATTTCTAAGAGCGTTGGTGTAAGTATGTAATCTTGCATTATTCTTGTATAATCCCCAGTTTCTGAGAGTATTTGCTTGATTTTTCCTTTTTTAAAAGATTGAATTGTATAATTTCTACCTCCATTGCAAGCTGATTATCTTGTGTTCTTGCAGGTTTTTTTTTTAAATTTTTTTTGGCTCACCCACGGTGCTGGATTCGGTTGTTTGGTCACGGGAGCAGATGACCGGGAGTTCGTATTCGAAGTGTTTGGATTTTGGGTATACTGATTTGTTATTCTCTACTGGAATTGAACCTGTTCATACACATCATTCATTTTGGTTTTTGTTCATTGATTTGTTCATTTAAAATTGATGGTTTTAAGAGGTTACACACAGAGAAGGTCTTTGTGATTTGGTTATACAGCTCAATGCTGAATATGGAATGGTTATTTCATTCACACATGTTGAACTCTCACATACTGTGTTTTGTATTTTCTCTCCATTGAAACACAATTTTGAGTGCTTGGTAATTTGGTTACTCCTGCTTTTGCGTGTAGTTTTGCTTGTAATTTGGGACTTTGAGGGCGTTTGAGATTGCATTTAAAAGCTACTCTCGTACTTTGGAACTTGTGTTTCATTGAAATGCAGTTTGTCGGTGTATGACAATGTTTTTTAGTTATAGATTATGACTTTTGAAATTTAAAATAAACCCAAGAAGTGTTTTTAAGAAAGGTTAAGAAGGTGTTTGGTAGTGATTAGCTTGTGGGTAAAGAGATTTCTACAAAAGCTGAAAGGATAAACATTTTATAATTGCTTATCTAAAACGATGTTCTATGTTCAAAATAGTGATGGAGTAAAGCAAAAGTTGATATGTCGGATAGAGTAAAACCATTATCAATTAAAATAGAAGCTAAATTCTTAAAAGCAGTGCACTGCCAAACACCCTCTAAAGCTATCTGCTTTCCGTTTCTAATTAAAACTTCTACTTTTTTTTATCACTCTACCACACTTCCAAGCACCTCTTAATTTTTTAAGATCAACTATAGCAAATGGATCATGCTAGCACCCATATTTCGCACAGACAAACACAGATGATAATTGTCTGTGCAACACAAACAATTATTATCTGTGTTTGTCTGTGCGAAGCATGAGTGCACCTGTGGTAGCACTCATGTGGTAGCACCCTAGCATTTTCCATAGCAAATACCTTGTGTTTGTGGTTGATTCCCCAGCTTGAGTTGGAGATTGAAAAGACAAGTATAATGCGCTTTTATACTCCTTAAAAAAAGTGTTTGTAGTCTAATTTTATTCTAGTTTTATTTGTCGACAAAAATGGAATTCAAGATGAAAATAAAAAAATATATTTTATACAAATGTTATTATTGTCGTATACTAAGCAATTGTTTAAAAGGTGTTGCTAAATCCACTCCTTTTATGACTCGGTTCACTCTATTTATGCTTAAATGGATAACTTTGCCCTTAACAACACAAAGAAGAATAAGAATATTAGATCTTAGCCAATTTTTAAAGTCGGTTTTGACCATTTAGCATAAATGGAGTAGATTAAATCATAATTTAGGTGAATTTAGCAACATCCTTTTTTAAATTCTGTATATGTAGAATGCAATTGTTTTCAATAAAAAAACTTTCATATTGCCTATCAATTTTTTGAGAGAAGTAATAGAAATGTGTCAAATTTGTGTAATTAAAATTTATAAAAGACCCCCTTAAAAAAATTTAAAAACATAACATAACATGGGCAACATAATTTTTTCATAAAAAGGATCACGAAAATATCTCAAAACACGAGAACTAAAGTTCAAAATGTAAAAGCTTACTCCAGAACTCTGTGGACAATTTTTGAGGATTCTTCAGTCGATGAATGAAGGCAAATCCCACATGACTTCTGATTCCAACTCAAATTCTCAGGCCTTTTCTGCTCACATGGCTAGTATGACCTACTTTCCTTCTGATTTCATAACTTCACATATGTGCAATAGTGTGTGTAAGATTGATAATTGTGCTTGGATTCTGGATACTCGAGCAACTGATCATATGTGTGCTAATCCACTTCTTCTCACTAAAGTCAAACACCTTTCCAGTCCTCATCACATAACTTTACCAACCAATCAACAAATCACAGTGTTTCAAACTGGTTCTGTCACTTTATCTTGTGATATAGTCCTTGATGATGTCCTTTTTGTCCCAGATTTCAAATTTAATTTGTTATCAGTTGGCAAATTATGTAGTCAGTTGGGACTCACAGCCTTTTTTACACCAAACAAATGCATTTTGCAGGGCCTTTCCAAGAGGAGGCCACTGGATCTTGGTGAAAAACATGATGGTCTGTACATAGCCAAATCTCTTCAGTCTTCTCAAGTCTCCCAAATGTCTCATATTAGTTCTTTTGATGTATCATCTTCCTCTATTGATAATGCTCATAGTAGTTCCAGTTGTAATAAGGCTTGTAAAGTTTCAGATGTAAGTTTGGCACGTGAGACTTGGCCATTTGCCTCTTTACAAACTGAAATATATCTGTTCTTTTAATGATGAAAATGTAAATCATTTGTCCTCTTGTGATGTGTGTCCTAAAGCTAGACAACACAGGTTACCATTTCTCCATAGTCTCACTCATTCTGATCACATTTTTGACCTCATTCATTTGGATTTATGGGGACCCTATCACACCAAAACACACAATGGTTTTCAGTATTTCATGACCATAGTGGATGATTTTTCCAGAGCCACATGGACCTGTAAAGACAATAAAACGTATGAGATGCAATTGCATGTGCTAGAGAGGTTGGTATGGGAATTACTTGATGAAGTGCATAAAGTTTTATTAGATCAAGGGTTCACTTTTGCTGATTCATCCTATTTGCCTCCTGTTCAATGTATATAATGCAGGCCAATGTGGGGAAGAATAATGATTTCGAAACGTCATTGCAAGTTCTACGTGGATTTGATACAGATATATCATCTGAAGTGAATGATATCAAGGTATTAACACTTTATAACTGGAAACAATTTGCTAGAAATGGAAACTATAAAGATAACCAAGCCTATGCATGGTGAATATCCAATATGGAGAATAAACATGGGTATGGATCAACTGTATCAAAGAAAATAACCGCGGATGCATATATAGGAAGAATGTGCATGTTATTGTACGAACATCTTTTATGAATAGATAATGGAAGCGTGGGCTAGTGGTATTTGAATTTCGTGAGGTTGAAATATGATCTCTTTATACAGAAATCAGCGGCATCATCTGGTAAAAGCTCAAGTACTGTCCGGTTTTCAGAACTCAAGAAACGGCGATACTATTTGCCTCTGATGGTAAAACATTCATGGTTGTATAAACATCTTTATCAGTTTTTTTGTTTATACAACAAAAATTTGTGTTACAAATCATGCTAAAACTTTCATGCTTTTTCTTTATATGGTGCTAATGCATAGTGCAGATCGGCATTGGATTACTTTCTCTCCAGCAACTATGCGGAATCAACAGCGTTTTATTCTATTCTAGTAAGATCTTCGAATCTGCTGGTGAGTTCTTCTCTCAGCTTTATAATCTTCAAATGATGCAGTGACAGTTCACTCTATTTATGCTTAAGTGGACAACTTTGCCCTTAACAACACAAAGAAGAATAAGAATATTAGATCTTAGCCAATTTTTAAAGTCGGTTTTGACCATTTAGCATAAATGGAGTAGATTAAATCTCAATTTAGATGAATTTAGCAACATCCTTTTTTAAATTCTGTATATGTAGAATGCAATTGTTTTCAATAAAAAAAAACTTTCATATTGATTACCAATTTTTTTGAGAGAAGTAATAGAAATGTGTCAAATTTGTGTAATTAAAATTTATAAAAGACCCCTTTAAAAAATTTAAAAACATAACATAACATGGGCGACATAACTTTTTCATAAAATGGATCACGAAAATATCTCAAAACACGAGAACTAAAGTTCAAAATGTAAAAGCTTACTATATATAATAATAAGACCTTGTTCGGAAATAAATTTTTAAACAAGTGTTAACATTTTTGATAACTTTTTAATATTACAGATTACTTTTAAATGTGCTAAACCTAAATGCAATCATTAAGGCAATATTTGGCATTAGTTTCAACAATGAATTTTAGCATTTGAAAATACTATTAGACCATAGTTTCTAGTTTTTTCAATTATAAAATTAATCTATATCATTAAAATAATTTCCAAGCCAATAACATATGTTATTGACTTATTGTCAAACAAAGCTTAAATAGCTTTCAATAAAAAAACAAAGCTTAAATAAATTTTTGGGTTAAATATATTTTTAGTCCTTATAAAATATGTGTGTTTTGCTTTTAGTCCATGTATAATATTTTTTTGTTAAATTTATCCTTGTAAAAAAATTATTTTAACACTTCTAATTAGATCAGACAACACATTTATTTCATACTCAACATCTTAGTCTTGTCTATCTAATTACTTACGGAGTATAACAAAATTTCCAAACTCTAAATTGTCTACTTATTCATATTACACCTCCCATCCCCAAAATTTATTAGGAATATAATGTAATAAAAATTGGGAATCGGAGATTTAATTTGAAAAAGGATACAATTTAGGTATGAAAATTGTGTCTAAGGTAATTAGAAATGCAAAACTAAGAAGTTGAGTACAAAATAAATGTGAGATTTCAAAAAATTTAAAAATTGTGTTTAAGGATCATTTTAAAAATAATTTTACATGAACTAAAAATAAAACTCGCTTACCATATTTTATAGAGACTAAAAACATATTTAACACTAAATTTTTAAAGAGGAGTTACGATCTTACACTAATTCGAGTGGTGTAAGATAGTAACACCATTTAAATTGGGACGCATAAGGTATCTCATTTGTAAACTCTCATAACTCCTCTCATAAATCCTCACCTCGGACTTCGTCCTCTTAATTACTAGCACCCTAGTCCCCGCAATTACACCATAAAAGTTTGATTGACATTTTGGTTAGAATTTCGAGCTGTAAAGACAATAAAACGTATGAGATGCAATTGCATGTGCTAGAGAGGTCGTGACTCGTGAGGGGTGAGGTTTTATGAGAAGAGTTAAGAGGAATAAGTGGTGTAAGAATATCTCTTCTCTTTTTTAAAATACCTCCATATCTACTAGGGCTTGTTTGTCAAATGCAACAGCCTAAACGATATCTCATTTAGGGTTTGTTTTTTCATCTGATTCGATTGGTTCTGATATGATTGGAATAACTTTTGATTTAATCTAACTTGATTGTAGTTCTACTTTAGTGGTTTCTGATTTGATCTAATCTGAGAATAGATCATGACCCCGTTTGAAAATATTATTTTTGATTAGTGTTGACATTTTAGATAAAATTTTAACGATACGAATTAACTCTGAAAATACTAACATTAAACATTGTTCGTAGATAGTTTTATCAAAACGTTAATAATAACCTCTAACGCTATTTTCAAACAGACCAAATAAGTTGAAGAGATTTGATTTCCGGAAAATAAGTAGTATTTCACTTGAGTCCATCGTCTTTTGTTATTTTATCTGATAATTAATTCCATAACCTTCAAGTTCCGAGTATTTGCAGATTCCCACTGCGGCTACCCCAGATAAACCCCCCAAATTGGAAACTCCAATTAGGGTTTTTCGCATCGCAAAATCTCTCTCGGCTCTATATATATATATATATACACACACTCCTTTTGTCCCCATCCCACCCATATAGCTCCGCGCCTGTTTTCTTTCTAGGTTTTCGCTCTAACATTCTTCGGCAATGGAAGCGGAGGGCAGAGTCAGGGGCTGCTATGCCGCAGCTTCCGAGAAGCTTTTTCTGAGCCCTGCAATGGAGGTTATTGCCGCTCAAACCGCTGCTCTTTTTGTGGAGTCTCTCTCTTTCGTCCTCTTTTTGGTAAGTTTAATCGCATTCTCTGTGTAATTCATGCTGTAATTCTCCTTTCTCTGCTTTCTGGAAATTGAGATGATTTTTGGGTCTGGAATATTAATTGTTTCAATATTTCTGTTTTCTGTTTGTTGAAATTGGTAATATGCGCTTATTCTTTTGATAGATTTGTCAGAAAGATTGGAGAATTTGTTGTTTTGGCTTTGATAGATGAAGTCTATGTTCCACTGGCAAAAAAATGAATAATTACAGTTTCATATTTGAAGCTACAAAATGCTTGCAAATATGAATATACAAGTAAATTTAATTTTTTGAAATTTAACAAAAATACATGTGAATAGATTTATGTTTTCTGTTTGTTGAATTTGTAATATACACTAATTCTTTGATAGTTTTGTCAAAAAAAATGGAAATTTGGTGTTTTGCTTTGATGGCTGAAGTAGTGACATGAACTTATATACTATGATGATTATTAGAGAAACACTATAGCCTTTGCTTCCGGAAAATAGTTCTTATTTTCTTTGTGCCAAAATATCTCTTTTTTCCTCCATGAAATATGTGGATCATTATCTTTTTCTCTCTTATAATCCAAATCTAATAATACTTTTTTAGCACTTTTTCTTAGTCTCTGAAGTCAAACCCTATTTTTTTGTTTAATTCACTCAAACCATACAAGTGTAAATTCTTTCAGTTTAATGATTTTTATTTTGTCACCCATTGCAGATTGGAGTCATTGGATATGCGTCTCATACACTTCCCAGAGAGCCCGAGAATTCGCAAAGGTTTGTATTGTTGTGTTCTCTTCATTTTTTTCCCAATGCACTTTTTGGTTTGCAGCATTGATTATATATTTTAGTGGATAACAGGGTGTCAGTATCTGAGGTTTACAATGGGAAGGAATGTGCCATTGAAAAAGAGGATTCCAAGGACAATGGAGATGGTGTTGGAGATGATGATGGCGACAATGAGGAAGATGAGGTGGATGATGGTGATGATGATGATGATGATGAAGATGATGCACGAGATGATGTTGAAGCTGGAAGTGGTGATGATGATGAAGACAATGATGATGATGAGGATGATAACGATGAAGACAACAATGATGATGAAGATGATGATGATGAAGATGATGATGAAGATGATGGAGATGATGATGATGATGAGGAGGAGGAGGAGGAGCAGGAGGATGAAGAGGAAGAAAAAGAGGATCAGCCACCAGCTAAAAAGAGAAAATAAGGTCTCATGTTTTGCTGGATCTCAAATGGTGAGTGGAATTGGTAGTGTAATGTGGTAATAGTTTGGGCAGCTCAGTTAACTTGTGTTTATGTTTCATTCCTTTCTTCTTCTTATTATTTCTATTTGGGTGACAATGAGGAGCTTTGTCACTGAGTAACATAATGAAATTGTTATAGTAGTTCTAGTAAAGGGATTCCTGTTTGCTGTCTTGTACCCCTGGTGAAAATGGTTCTTTAGTTGAAGGAAATGGCTAATGGACTCGTAATTTATTATTGAGAAAATTTTATTATTCATAATTAATTATGGAGTAATGCATAGTATTCGGTATTACTCCTATTTTCAGTGTATTTGTCTAATTTAACTTTTTTTAATTAAACTCGTTAAACTTTGAGCTTCAATTAAATAAAAACTAGAATGTATTTTAATATAAAAATGATTTTTTTTAGATTTATCGCATTGAGAATTTTTAAAATTAAATTTCATTATATTAGTATGGGTCTCTTTGGAAATAACATTATAGATTAGTGTTAGCGTTTTGGATAAAATTTTAAAAGTGTAGATTACTTTGAATACGCTAACGCTTTACGTTGTCCGTAGATAGCTTTTTCAAAATACTAATGCGAATCTTTAATGCTATTCCGAAACAGGTTTTATGTAATACAAATTGAGAATAATTGGAGTTTAAAGTTTGTCCCATTTGATATGAAAAATCAAACTAGACAAATACACTGAGACGGAAGTAGTATTTATGAAGTACAATTTAAATGTGAAAAAAATGCGTCCAGTCATATTATTTCCCAGTGATGCATTAATGTCAAAACAATATCAAAGCTAACACCAAATAAGTGTTACTCCCTTCGTCTCATTTCAAGTTGCATGTTATTCTATACGATGTTTGATTGAAATTATTTTTCAAATAGATTTATATGAAAAGTAGGGTAGAATCGACCCGCATAAAGAAATGTACATTAAGTAAATTGATTTGTCATTTCTTTCCATTTTTTTGGCAAGATTTGATTATATCTTGGCTCATTTTATAACGAAACAAAGTTGAAATGATATGAATGAATTCCAAAAAATCTAAAACAAAAATAATTGGAGAAGTCATAGTAGTTGTTACTACAAGATGTGACAGTTGAGGGTAGTTGGGGGATAATTTTAAAAAATACGAAGTAGTTCATCATTCGTTTGTTTTTTTTGTTTATGACTTTATGTACTATTGTACTCACATATGGGGCAATGAATGAATTTTTAGTTCAGTTGAGTATAAAATTTGAAGGTCTCACTCTTCATTTTAAATAAAAAGAATAAGTTGAAGAGAACAAATTTTTAACCGTATTAAAAAAGATTCGAGGCTTCAAATTCTACTTTAAAATAAGGCAAAAAAAATCCTTAGAATCAAATACTTTTAAATAAACTTTAAAGGTCTATCTTGTATCCATGTTTTTGCATACATAAATTGCAAACATTTCATTTTCTTTCCCAGAGAGAGAGAGAGAGAGAGAGATCTATAGAGAATCCAGAAAAGCCAGATGGATAGCTGGTCTCCAAGTTGTGCCATCTGGGCTATCCATCAAAGCAATGCCAACAGCTGCCAATTCTTTTCGAATTGCATCAGATCTTTCATACTCTTTCTTCTTCCTCGCAGACGTCCTCTCTTTTATTTTATGAAGAACTTCATCTTCGGTCATATTCGCACGCGACAGTGCTTTATCTCGCAGCTGCTGCAGAACCTATAAAACCCATGTACATGCAAGTAACAATCGTTTGGCGTTTTCGCACACGTATACATTTTTTAGTAAAAATAGAGCATAATATAGAGCACCAAACTTTGAAAACCCTAGAGATTGTTTGAACGTAAAAAG